GCTGCTGCTGCTGCTGCTGCTGCTGCTGCTCCTACTGCTACTGCTACTGCTGCTATTATTATTTTTGTTATTACTACTGCTGCTACTACTGCTACTGCTACTGCTACTGCTTCTGCTTCTGCTACTGCTACTGCTACTGCTGCTACTACTACTACTACTACTACTACTCCTGCTACTACTACCACTACTACTCCTACTCCTACTCCTACTCCTACTCCTACTCCTACTCCTACTCCTACTCCTACTACTACTACTACTACTACTACTACTACTACTACTACTGAGCAGCCACGACAGACATGGCGGGGACGCAGCGCTTCGGACCCTGGCCTGCAAGAGCAAACGAGACAGACGGGCAGCAGATATGTCGACATGGTGCGGCTCTCGTGTTTCTCCATTCCAGCGCAGGGACAGCGTCTTCTCCGCACAGACCGCGGACGTCGGTGCAATAAAGGAGGCCGCATGGACTGCGGCCAGCAATGTCCAAGACATGGGAACCGACAAGCACACATACCCAATCTGAGCTGATTGTCTTTCATCATCTATCTTCAAGGTTCGAATTGGTGCACTTTTCAGACAGAACGCGTAGGCTGCTTTCAGAATCTCTGGGTGTATTCCTTGATGACGTTACAAACAGTAACCTAGAGGATCAAGTACACATTTCAATGGAGTGCAACTCCAGCTACAAGAGGAACAATCGAACAAAACTGAAAAGTGCAGTCACTGTATCTACACGGCAATATCTGTTTGGGATCGATGCAGGTACGTCCAGGTGATCAGCCTGAATATCCGCGGGTCACTGCCCGCTGCAGTCTCGTATATACAAAACTGTCTACACAAGCAACTTCCTTAGGAAGAGGAACTCCACACGCAAACACATCAGTGGCATCACAGCTAGGACCAGCCATTCCCCATCTCGACTAAACGCTCGATTCCACATGGAACAATCGGAGCGCTCACAAATAGAAGTGACTGTTTCAAGCACACTTCCCGAGTGTGGACGCTCGTCGATATGTATTTCGACGCTGTAAAGCGTGATAAAGCGACCCCGTGTACAGAAATTAACCGATTCAACGATTTGGCCGTTGTGTGTTACAGACTTCGAGGAAACGGTACAACGGAGGCAAATTTTCTGAGGATCGTGGGCTCGGATCCGTTCACAGGACTGGACCAACAAAGATCTGCCGCAGCCACACCAGCATGAAGAATGGATGCAACGGAAGAAGAACAAGGCAACATTCTTGTATTGCAAATGCTGCAGCAACACAAGCTGTACCCAGAGGCAGCCCTCAAAAAAGGCTCGGTGGAACGTCGGAAAGCTGACTTGGACCACACAAACAGAACGGCGCAGTGCAGGGCAGGCACAACGGCATGCGGATGCCGAACAAGACAAAGAAGAGAAGCTTCTACACAGCTAGACAGAGACCTTTTCGAGCAGGACGAGACACGTCTGTGCCACAAAATGCAACATATATGCACAGGCGCTGTCGCAGCGCGGCATGTGCACGGCGCCACACGCACACACGCGCCTTCTGTGCTGGGCGAGGCCAAGCTTGCGCATGGCCAGCTGCTGAAGAATGCCATCATCTGTACGCACAGGGAAAGCATGCGGCGGCGCGACACGGGGCGCTGCGCTTCATTGCCAAGCCCTACTTGTGCGAGTCAGGCTGCAAAAGGGAAACCACAGGCGAGCATTTTGCTAGAAGCGAGCTGCAGAACATCCACGGAAGAGTTTTGCAGGGGTGCAACTAAAGACATCCCAAGGTCTCAAGCAGATGGCCCTCCTGGTTCTCGAGTGCGCACACAGTCCAAAGCAGAGCTGCCGCTTCGGAGGTCAAAGCACAAAGAAGCTTCCATCTCCTCAATATTAGGGTTTCTATAGCAGCAAATAATGGATCCGTTTTCCATTTCGATTCTATATTTTTTTGGAGGGGGGTGGCATTATTATTATTTTCTTTGGGTCCAGGCCCTCAATAAAATAATGAATCCAGTTTCCATTTCGAATCCATTATCTTCTCGGGTGCGTCTTGTGCGGAGCTCTCCAGAGCCGCTGATGTTGTGGATGAGAGAAGTACGATAATTGCTGCAAGTCATCCTGAGAGAGACGAGCCTGCATTCCATGATTTTTAAGGAAAAAGCATTGGAAGCGGTTTCAACGCCAACGAAATGTTGGGCCAGGGCAATAGCAACAACGGATCTGCGGTATCATTTACAAATGTGCCGCTGCAGCAGAGGAGACAGATGCATAACAAGAATTGACAAGAGTCCGGTGGAGGAGACAGTGTATTCAAGAACGAGGGCAAATGTGATGATGATAGTGGTCGTGGTGATGATGGTGGTGTTTGTGGCAGAGGTGCTGGTGTTTGTGGCGCTGGTGGTGCTGATGCTGCCTGGTATGTGAAGTATCCGATGCCCGAACACGCCACAACTCAAATATCCGATGACTGAACAACTCGAAAACTCCACCTCACGACAGTCCTTTCTGATAGATATATAGTTACATGTATGTGGTCGAGAGCTTTAGGGTCCAGTTCTGCACCTTTTCTCTACTTCAGTAACATCGGGGGTGTTCCAAACTTACGAAAGTAGCCCAATTTAAGTTTAGAAAAGCCTTCTCATGCCTGGTCAAGACCCTCCTCGAAATTCAACTTTCCTTTCGAATGTCTCCAACCGAAGCAGCAAAGTAGTCTTCATTCGGAAATAACACTGCCCTTTCCGCGAACACATTTCCTGCAAAATCCAAACACCCAAAATTCAATTTGTACATGGAGTTTTGAAACTTTGTATTTCCATGATCCAAAAGTCCCAAGTTCCAAAAATCCAAAATTGGTTCTGGCATCTCCACGAACATGTTTGATTTTTGGCTTTGTGGCTTTTGCAGGAACTGTGCCCTCTGTGGCTGCACATGCTTCCCTCGTGCTTGTGTGCAGGGGGTTTGCGAGGCTTTTCGATCTATAGAATGCAAATCGCTAGGGAGCTCATATTTGTATTTGTTCCAAAGATGTTGTTCGTGGACTGCTTTAAATAAAGAAGCTAGGGGTGTGTGTGTTTCAAGAGTTGGTACTGCTACACGATTCAGGTTGTGGCTCGTATCTATTCGTAACATATGTAGCTCTCACCCAGTTGGTGGTCCTTGCTATTATCCCCAAAGGAAAATATGTTCACATCCAGCAGATTTAGTATGAAAAATTCAAGAGTTTTCGTAATCAAACAGACCTTGTTGAACTTTTCTTAATAGCATTATCTAGACAAGTGTAAGTTGGCGCTTGGCTGAGTTATAACCAGCATTCATGTATCGAAGAATGTAGATACACAATGTTCGACTCATGTTTGTAACGTGGATCGATTTCCCGGCAGGCCGGTTCCTGTGACAGTTGACACCAAGAAAGGAACAGCAAGATGATGCTGATGATGATGATGGTGGTGATGGTGATGATGGTGATGATGGTGATGGTGATGGTGATGATGGTGATGGTGATGGTAATGATGATGGTGATGATGATGGTGATGATGACGATGGTGATGATGGTGATGATGATGATGATGGTGGTGATGATGATGAGACAGTGAGACAGGCCCAGTTCCTGTGGCAGTTGACCCATCAAAGGGTCTGAGTGAAAATGCATGCTACACAGACACGGACAGACGGCAGGAAGAACAGAGAGATGGATGGGCTTGGGGCCAAGCCACACAATCACAGAGAAGGGAGACTCCGTGGCGAATGTCTGACGTACTAGGGCTCCGGATGGCTTTGATAGAAGCCGCTGTCGCGGCATTCTCGGGTCGAAAATACAACATTGGTCATGAGCATACGGGTCCTAGTAAGGTGCAGGCATCCGGCATAATCTGAGTCTCACAAGACCCAATTTTGCAACTGTCCGATGGCACTACAGATGAGCTGCGCAAAGCCTCTTCCGGGTAGTGCGAGTTCCAACTCGAGCACCTGAACCAACAATCGATGATCCGCCTAGTCGAGCGTTGTCGCTTGATCAGCGTGCTAGGCGCCGCACAAATCCAACACTGCGAAGCCCTCTGGGCATGCCTCAGACGATCAAGCTATGATGTGAAGCAAATTTGCGAGCAGCAGCTTCAAGCAACTCGAAGCGCAGCTCCTGACCCCTACGCCCCACGCACAAGCTCCCATTCCGCACATTGCGAATTGACGGGCATGCTCGCGACATCCTTTAAGCTAGCTGTGTGCAGGGTCCAGACTCTGGACGGCGTGGCCTGGCAATGCAAGCAGACTGAAGCTGGGCCACCTTGAAGAAGGCATCGTAGGCACCACTCAGCCGCTCCTGCCAAAAGTGTTCGCGACTTCGCGAAACCGACCAAACAACTGTCTAGTGCACCTAGTACCTTTTGCCCCACTTCACCACCCGGACTCCAGCGAGGCGTCATCGAGGTGCTCCACCAGCCGCGGTTCCGCGTACATCATGGTGTCCGGGCCTGACCGTGGCCGACAACACGCATCATTACTTCGGCCCTTGTTGTCCCGGACATCTCGGGCAGAATAGTCAGGTTGGAGCTGGAGGGGCAACGATCACTGAGTGGCAAACAGCTGTCAACAAACTGCGTTGATTCCGCTGAAGCGAAGCTGAATGCTAATCCAGAAACAGCCATTGAGGGCCAAGCTCTCGTCCATGCGTGCGAAATCTTCGGCCTGCCATCTAGCGAGCGACAGATCTGAAGCTACCAAATGATTTTCAGCACCTAACCCAGAAGTCGCAATGCCCCGGCAGTCAGCACGCAAGCAGCGAAGCAATGCACCTCGTCCAGCATAGCAAGAGAGGAACAGAGACCGAGGGAAGGAAGCGAGGGAGAGAGAGCGGTAGTAGTTTGACACGGCCGTTTTCACCACGCAATGCCGCAATGCTATGCTGCAGCTTCTGCTTCTGGTTTACCAGAGCCGTTGTAGCTGTTGACATTTGTCGAGACGGTGTCTTGGACCCTGAGCCACACATCCGATGCATGCTACAGTGGCTTGAGCGAAACAACGAGGCTATGCAGTTGTTTGTCCACACAGAAGCTTCAAAGCGGAAGGGTACCGAAATACGAAGATGTGGATGCTTCGGGCAGCTCATGGTTTCGATGGCTCGCAACATGACAAACTTTGCGGCTCCTTGGTCAGGCTAAGATTGTTGCAACCCATCTATTTACGTGTAAAAAATCACGGACCAGGATGCCGCCGAGGAAACCCCATCGTCCGCACACTCTCGACAGGACACGGAACAGGCCGACGGTGACACTCAAGGTGACAAGAAACAACCCAAACTCTCTGATTGCACATTTGTGAAGGAAAAAACCTACACTGCTCCAACGATGCAACCTCTGATTTTGCTGGAGCCCAGGCGTGCTTGCCCCACGGCTTGAGCTTGCTTGTCGGTGATCCCACCCACCTCGTAAGGCCAGCCGGCTGGCTTCCATCCGTGCCTCGTCGAGAGCAAGTTCTGTTCAGGCTTAGATCATCTAGACTGGCCTCGGCCTGGCCGAAGCTGACAAACTGAATGGGCCAAGGTGCTGCGCATTCATTGCATGGCTTACGGCCGAATAGGGATTTGCTTCATCCAGGCGGACCTGCTGCAGACGTTCACAGATCGAACGAATGCTGGGTCACGAAGAAACACCGATCCCGGCGAAAACTGGCTATCCTGCATGGCCATACAACAGCTTTCCAGGCTAGGTGGGCGGCTCTGGTTTCACAACCTTAAACAACAAGGGTACAGTTTGTTATGAGTCTTCCTTAGAGGCAACAAATGCCTTCCCAGCTGTCCGGCATTCCGAAATCTTTCCGTGCTTCCTCTCAAGATGCCAGCCGAAAGTATCTGCAGCGGCAGCTCTCGAGTTTGTGAAAGATGTTTGGGCTTTCTTGGTGTTCCGGCGGTCATTAACATACTAATTACATCTAGTTACTAGAAGCTATTTTTGGCCCTGCTTTTTGACCCTGCGAGCCTTCTTTCCGTGGGGTCCATCGATCGTAACACCGACAAACTGACCGCGCTCCACCACCTGCTTTAGCACCTGTGCGAAGATTGAAGGGGAAGTCTGAACACGGGGTTTGAAGGTCAGTCTCCATATGTAAGACACCCGTCGCAAGTGCCAAAGCTTCAGATCACAGTGAAACATGTCTGCTCACAAGGCCTCTTCCCACTCCTCTACGCTTTTCAGGCCGTTCATCTCCATGCCGTTTCCCGAGATCTGCAGAGAAAGCGGCAGCAACAACAGCTTTGGTCTGCAAGGATCTGGACCCCTGAGCACCTCTTCTCGGAGCAAGAAATGCGGAACTTCTCCAAGCATGGAGGACAAGTCCTGCGTCGAAACTGAAGGCTCGGTCGGCATTTGCCCAAGCGGCAATCGGATTTGCGACGGGGTGGGCAAACTTGAGCGATTTGGATTCACACAAGACGCAATGGTGCAAATTTTCAATCTCTGCTCCGACAGAAGCAATATGAAGCAATGCAGCTGGCCGGGAGGTTGTGATGGGTTAGCAAAACGTGCGGCTTGCGAGCTCGAAGACCCAGCGGTCAATCAAGTATCCCCCAGTCTGCGGTGCCTTGAAAGAATTAGGAGTTCAAGCGACCCTCAACAGATGCAAACGTGTCAGTGTTCCGCATGCTAGGCTGCAGAAAGGTCTCCGGAGAGCCTCTCGTCTACGAGCCATTCCCCGTGCGAAGCGCACGCCGCTTATCAAAGGACAAGTGATACCCACCGCCACGTAGAGTCAACCGGCTGGGATGGCTAAGACTGTGCTGAACCCAGCTTTCAAAAAGGGCTCTTTTCAGCAAAGAAGCTTGGGTGTGCGCATCCCTTGAACACACTTTTCCTTGAGCAAGGAGCTGACACTGCCTTTGATTGACAAAGCCTGGCATATTGAAGCTGCCAAACTTCAAGAGCCCAGAGACCATTGGGCATAAGAGGCCAGAGACCTTTGGGCGCACGTTTGCAGACCGACGGGTGCCTGTCCTGGCGCCTGGAAGGACCCTTCATGGAGTTGTCCTGATACTATGCTGAGTTGGCATGACCATAGCGCGGGCAAGATTGGGAACCTGATCTCGAAAGCCCGTACTTCTCCATGTGTTTGCGTGAGCACTTTGCGCTGTAGTGTGAGTCCCAACTGTGGGGAAAAGCATCTAGGCATCACGCAGGCCTTAACCTTTGTTGCGAATCTGAATCTTACTTTTGTTTGCAAGCATCTGCGCCACCGGTAAAGCAGAAAAACTTGCGCGAGCCTGATCTCTTGATGCATGTGCTGCAAGGACCTTCGCTCACCAGCCACAACGGGCTGGGGCCGTTTAGTGCAGGATGCAGAGTTGCGGAGCCCAGCCTCCATCATAAGTCGTGTCGCTGCGAGTCGTTTTGGTCCAGCCCTAGCCTAGCAGTTGGGGAAGCTGACTAGGACAATGAATGGCGACAGTCTTTCTGGTTGAGGGGTATTGTCCCTGCCGCTTCGACCGAACTTCTGCGTGACCAGCTTTTCTTACATGAGACTCGTTGGATACAACATTTTCAAACTACTTGATTGTGGGCTGATCTGTGTGTGCGTGTGTATTGGATGCGTCGCTTTCCTTCTTCGGCACGATGGTTCTCATCCAAGACTTCGCCTGTGCACCTGAGCTGTTGTGGCTGTCTGGTGCGAGCATCCCCATGAGACTGTTGCTACCACGGCTGGTCAGTTGCGAGGTGCTGTGAAAAATGTCCCACTTGGTGAGGCTTCTGCCACGCACATACGGCCATCTGAAGTTTTGTAATGACTCCCAGATTTGTGTCAAGCGTTTCGGAAAATCCAACATGTCAGTGGCTCTGGTTCGGAGCGGAAGTTTCATCTGTGTAAGTTCTTCCTATCAGAAGCCTGAGTAAAACATCCTTTCTAGCTGATTGGGTGCACGCGCGCGCACAAACCAAGAGCAGGCCGAGAAACTCCGGCATTAAACCGGGAATAGTGTTGTGGATCAGGTGGCTGGTATAAGCTTGCCAAACACGTTGTGCAGCGCTCATCGCTGCATGACAGGGCCACACATCTCGCTGATGTTGGCGGGAGTCTCCTGTGGGAGTTGCTGGAAGTGCAGCAAGCCTGGATTGCCAAATTTAAATTCTGGCAGTAGCGCTGCAAACAGGAGCGCGGGCTTCTGATCAAAGTCATGGAGCTTCCGTGTACCAAAGGTTTTCCAATTTCGTTGGTAGCACCCACAGCACGCATGAGCCGCATGTCACGGAATGCTCGAGTCCGCTGCAGGAGATGTAGTATCGGGCAGGCTGCGCATAGCTGTGCATACCTGTGCAGATTTGCAGCGCCTTGCTGAGGTTATCGTCGTTCGTTGTAGCTTTGGCACTGCCATGTGTTTCATGTCAAGTCACGTCAGGGCCTCCTGAACCTGTCTTTCCCACCCCCCTGCCCTAACAGGTCAAAACTTGATAGAGGTAGCAGCTGCGCCTAGCACAAAGGCGTAGCTCGACCGACGCTCTTTTCCATGCCGCAGCTAAGATCTGGCTGAAGGCCTAAAGGTTTTGAGAAGCAAGCCAACATCGATGCACACTGCGGGTTTCTACATCCCATATACTATATTTGTAGCTTTAAGCTAGCTAGAAAACGCAGCAATCGATGTTCAGGTCTGTACAGCATTCTTCGTGAAAAACTCACAAGAATGGGCGCTCTGGTGGGCAGGAGTTCATGCTGATTCGGCAGCTGCTGGTACTGAACGTCACGCTCTAGCACACGCCACTGCACTTGTCCGGTCGGCAACTCCACTCGACAAAATGAGTTCCTAAGAGGGAACTGGCTAGGAGAGAAGCGCGGCTCAGGAGATCTCTTGCGACGGGCGTCGTATGCGACGTTCACACCCATGTCCTCCAAGCTGTGCCAGCCTCTTAGCTCGCCCAACCCCCGCCCAACAGCAGGTCGTCGACGTGGCTCACTATCATGCCTCGAAGCTTCGTCCTTGCAGGGCCATCCCACAAAAACCACTGTTGCCAACCTCGAGCCTCCAAAGACTTGGAAAGCTTCACCCGCCACTGTCGCCCGATCTTTAAAGCCGGGGACGACGAGACGCGCACTGGTCGCAGGAGGTAAGTTCACGCCCTCCGTACGCAAGGAGTCATTCTTATCAGTCATGACAAAGCGCGGCGTGAGGATCCGGTCCAACTCGTGCTTGCGGGCCAATTCCTTCCTCACCGCCAAGCTCTCCTGCAAGCTCAAGACGCGGATGGCATCGTTGTCCACACAAGCGCTGCATCCCTTGGTCGCCGCCTCGCTCCAGAGCTTCTTCTCAAAGGCACTCATGTGGGCCCACTGCTTCTCCTTACGACCGCCAGTGGCATGCACCTCGTGGGCGTCGTCAGGGATGCCGGTTGGAAGCAGGGCCCCGAGGGTTTGAAGGAGCTCGTGCTGCGACCTCATAGGCCGAGTCCATCGGCCATCCCGCGTTCCATACTCAGGGGCCTCCTCGGAAACAAGCCCCCGCCGACGATCACACTCGACCTGAGCCTGCACTTGTAGTAGAGGATGTTGATCACAACCAGGTTGGGCTAAACGACACAGCTGCTCATGGTCTAAGGTCCAAGCTTCGAAGACCGATCGTGCCTCACCCAACCATGGATCATCAAGAAGCCGGCACTGACGCAGCGCTAATGGACCCAGCTGGTTCTGAAGAAAGTCGACGGGGATCAGCAGCATCTGCAGTACCTACATCACCCGCTGTTTAAAGTCGATGGGGATCATCAGCGCCATCTGCAGTATCTACATCACCCGCTGGCTCTGAAGAAAGTCGAGGGGGATCCGCAGCACCGGGACCACTCAACGAGGAAACTCTTCCCGAAAAAGCCGGGGCCCCTCAGGAAGGTGTTCTGGAGGTTCCAGGCTCTCCGTCACCGAGCGCTGCGACCTCTTTCCGTAAGCCAGGGAGGTGGGCTGTCCCGCCCCAAAGCAAACTCGAGGGGCTGGTTTTGTGCTCTCTGCAAAGCCCTTTGAATCACAGGGCGCTGCAGCAATTGTCCTACCGGTGCGCCAGCGGTCGAACTGACTAAGTCCTGGGTGGCCTCCTCGTGGATCGTGTCGGCTGCCTCCTCGGGAATCGTCTCGGCCGCCTCGGGACGCAGTATCGTCGGTTGCTCGCCGAATCTGTTTGGAGTAGTGGAGGCGAACCGTGCTCACACGTGCACTCTCCCTCAGGGCCAGGCGCTGCTGCAGGGAAGGCTCGGAGTCAATAAGACCATGTACGGACAACCGCCCGGCAAAGTTATCCAGCACGGCGCCTTGTGTGTGTTGGCTGGCGCTTCGTCACACACTGCAAAGGAGACGCGCCCTCCTCTCGGTAACATCGGCGTTATATACGCCGCACAAGCTTCTGCGACCACATTGGCCACATCGCGGCCGCCGATGGTCACATGCTCGGAAACAAGCGCTGTCACCAAAGTTTGCAGAGCTCCTCCTGATCGCTCTGCCGGGCTGTTCTGCCACGGGGCCTGAACCGCACAATGCCAAACAAGGTGAGTGGAGTGGGACGAGCAAAAGTTTTGGAACTCCTGGCTCACGAACTCCAGGCCTCGATCGGCCACGATCTGTCGGGGAGCCCCAAGAGCCACCAGAGCCGCACCAAGAAATCGATCACGGCAGCCGAGGATTTGTCGGGGATCACCGCCGCCAGCTGATACTTTGACACGGCGGCATGGGCGACAACGTAGGTCTCGCCCAAGAGGGTTCACGTGAGCTCGCTCCCCCACTGCTCTCGGCGCCGGTAAGCTTGCTACAGGCCGGCTTCGCTCCAAACAGACATCACACTTCAGCTCCCGGGCCGCCTGCGCAGCAGCTGGCGGGAAAGTAAAAGAGCTCGGCCAAGCCGCCTAAGAGGACGATGGCCCGTCGCCTCATGTACTCGACGAACCGCCGCTCGAACAGCAGGGTGATCTCCCCGACAAACGGTGTCACAACCTCCTCCTCCTCCTCACTCCCCCTCCTCACTCCTCCTCAGACTCGCTCTCGCCCTCAAGGCCCGTCTCCTGAACCGTTGCCTCCCGAACGAAGTCCACGGCCACCGCCAGCACAAAGCACTCGTTCGCCTGCCCGGTCGCCTGCACCAGGCGGGCCTCGGTACCAAACTCCTCCTCCATAGCCGCCACGACTCTTGGGGAAGGCGCGAACAAACTCATGTACCACCGCCTGACTCGAGGTGACCAGCCTGGTCCAGGGCCATCTATGTAGTTCTCCGCCGGCCGTCCGGCTGCCAAAGCGCCCCATGTCGAGCGAAAACTGGCGGCAACGAGGGTCCGCAGCCAAGGAGCGAACACCAGCAAGATGCCAAAGAGCGGAGCCCGGCGCGCGTTCGATCACGAAATGGAAGTTGTGCTGTCAGCCGTTGTTGTTGCTGTCGTTGTCGGTCTGGGGCAGACATAGCCACAGAAGAAAACATCCAAGGCTCCGAGGGCACGGTTATCATGATAAAGTACGGCTTCTCTTTCTGAAGCAGCCCTGCTTGCCGATGTTCGGGTCGGGCGAAGTTCCAGCCGTCGTCGGAGCCCAGAGCCGTTCCCGTGGTGCGCCCCCGAAGCACATCGGCTCACAGAGGTGTTAAAGCCCAGCACGTCGGAACACAAGAGCGGGATGTCCAGGACAAAGGTCTCGTTCATACCTCGCCGACAGGTTCCGAAAAGCTCGGCCGCCATCACATCGGCCACCCGATGCGGCGTGCATGAGACAAGCAGCTGCTCGCGGCGATGTGCATCTCCAGACCCCTGCTGTTCCAGCCGAGGATCCGGAGGAGCCTCCTGCGCCAGCGACCAGCCGTCCGACATGTCCTGGTCCGGCCTCGGGACTCGGGTTCATGCGCAGCTGCATGACGTGCTGCAACACCTGTGTGAACATTGCTTCGTGCCGCTCCCCGAGTTCCTGGAACCGCTGGTCCATGACCTGGATCAGGCGGGCATTAAGGTGGAGGCATTCAAAGGGTCTGCCTCGGCTGCTTGGAACACTGGAGTGGGTGTGGCCACCATCCCGGCCGAGGGTCCAGGCGACATACTCCGTTGTCGAAGGCATTGGCACTTTATTGCAGAGTTCTGCCACTCGTCTTGATCTTGTCCTTGTCGCCCACTTCAATGGTACCATATAGGCTTCGGCACCCTGAAGGGCTGTGTCCAGCAACTGGCGCCGCAAAGCGTCAAGCCCAAGCCTCTCCTTGAAAAGCCAGCCCACCTCGGAGTCCGGAAGCTTCACGCCCTCGGTCTTCATGTCCGAAATCACCGTCCTGAACCGGGTGGCGTAGTCCGCAACTCTCTCTCCCGGCCGCCTGGCCATGTGAAGGTAGAACTGCATCCTTAGCTCGCCCGTGCGATCCAGCACTGATTGCCCATTAAGATTCTCGAGGGCCTGAAGCAACTGGTCCCAACCGGCCAGCAGGTCCTCCTCAACGACGGTCACCTCGAGGCCGGTCTCGGGGTCCGTGGCGGTCACGGCTTGCTGGTACTCGAGCTCCTCCGGAGAACATTCTTCTCCTCTCTGCTTCACCGTGCCGCTCTGCCTCATGAGGAATCGGGCCGCCAAATTGATTTTGCGGGTGGATTCCAGGTCCAAGGAGCTGATCCACCAAGACATTTCCCGCTTGAAAGCCCGCCATGTCAAGGGAGAGCCGTCCCAGGTGGGCACGTGAAAAACGAATTCCCAGCCCCAACTTAGGGCTCGGCTTGCAAGGTGATAGTTGCCCACCGGGTCCAACCACCAGCCCTTCTCACTCACAACGGCTGGGCTACCAACCACGAGGGAGTCGGGAGTCGGGTAAAGGAGCCGGAAGGCGCGAAGGTCGAAGACGGAGTAGCGCAGGCAGGGTCCGCTGTAAAGGCAGGCTCCGGTGCCACTGATAGAGGTAGCAGCTGCGCCTAGCACACAGGCGTAGCTCGGCCGACGCCCTTTTCCATGCCGCAGCTAAGATCTGGCTGAAGGCCTAAAGGTTTGAGAAGCTAGCCACACGAGCACAGCAGAACATCGATGCAAACTGCGGGTTTCTACAAAACTATTATGGCGCCCGGGAGGTCGCATCAGCATCAGCGAAGAATACACACAAACCGGAAAGTGTCACCCAGGAATACATGCCCAACACGAGAAGTGTATGCTATGATCCCCATGCCGCTCGACATGGATCGACCAACGCGGCGCAATGATCGACGCATTCCCACTTAGACTCCTCTCGGATGGTGGTCGGTGTGCGAGGCCGGGGGCCGCAAGATGGGATGACGGGCCATCATGCATTACATGTCGTTCCTCATGCCGGACCCAGACATCATGCTTTTCACCTGCACCTAAAACTAACAAGTGTAGGATATGCTGTCACTACACCATCTATGAACAATTGAAAACCACATTCTCAACTGCCCCAACGTTGCCACCTCGTAGCGCTTCTGCACCGCAGCCTTCGTCTCGGGTGCTGATGCGAGTGTCGCATCAACGCCGCATTCAGCAGCTGCTGCAGCCAGGACGTTGACATCCGAGATGTCCTACAAGGATCCCCTCTTTCTCTGCCGAACCAAACGTGTGGGAGAGAGAGCGAAAGAGAGAGAAAGAGAGAGAAAGAGAAAGAGAGAGAAAGGGAGAGAGAAAGAGAGAGAGAGCGAGAGAAAGAAAGAGAGAGAGAGAGAGAAATAGAAAGAGAAAGAGAAAGAGAGAGAGAAAGAGAGAGAAAGAGAGAGAGAGAGAGACAGAGAGAGAGAGAGAGACAGAAAGGGAGAGGGAGAGGGAGAGGGAGATGCGCAATGTTTGGAATCTTGTCCGTTGTGCATCATCCCTACGACCGACGGCAGTGTCCCTACTGTGTCAGGCCGCCCCCGAGCATGCCAGCCGGCTTCACCCCGACAGGTAGCCCTTCCGGCAAGTTGGGGAGTTCTAAAAGGATGCGGCCCACAGCATCTGTGAGCCGATGCTTTGGTGGAATGCTACCTAAGATGCAACACATGTAACAAGAATCCCCCAATGCACCACGTGAAGGCTAAACATCCCGTGACTGCCAACTTCTTGTAGGCCCTCGCTTTCTGGTCCTTGGCCTCCTCAAAGTACAATCGGGAAAGCATCTGCTCCAGTGCCTCCTGCTTGCCCTGTGCCTGAACATGAGCTTAAACTGTCCGGCTTGCGGCTTAGAGGTTCAATTCAGGGCGCAGAGTGGTTCTTGGCCTTTACGGAATGTTCCATAACTTTCCGGGGTCCGGGTTTGTTGCAGCACCTGCGCAACCTCGATCAGGCAATGGGCGTCGAAGGTGTTGACCACCCGGCGATTGGGATTCAGAGCCTCGGACACTTACGGCTTGCAACTCGCGCGCACACTTTCTGTTCATCGGGCCCGTGTTGCTTTTGTGTGAGCTGCAGCCCATATGCAGGAGCATACCGTCTCCGTTCGTCGAGTCTACCACACCCTGCACTCTCGTTGCGAGGTTGAGAGGGCAGCTGCCCAGCTATATAAAAAAAACACTTTGAGCATGCCAGGCTGCAATACCTGCCTTCACGCCAGCTTGCCGCAGCGGATAATTCTCTGAGTGGGCATACTCCTTTGGGCACTGGCTACTTTCGCCGAGCAGGCAACAACCCTTGCATGGCGTTCACTCCTTGGTGTACCCAAACTCGCGCCACAGGTAGTCGTCCAAACTCTCGCCCTCCTGACGTAAGAACGCGTGGGGGGGGGTCTCGATGACAGAAGAACGCAGTACCCAACTTGCAGAAACAGGATGCTGATTGGATTATGCGAGTCCTTGGAGACATTGGGATTGAGGAAGATTGGGTGGAAGCGCAAGTTGACATGGTCTTGCCTGGTGCGGACGAGTGCACGAAAGGCTGGATCCGAAGGCAAGAATGTTGTGCAATCAAGCGGCATCTCCAAATTCCGGACTGCTGCCTGCAAGTTCGTCTGACTGATGAACCTGATGCAGCTCACAGCTGAGAGGAGCTGAACATTGAACATGAGACCGTAAACCCGAATCACGAGGGCAATCTTCAAACATCGGATTTCTTTCCAGCTGCACTGCATGCCACGATTGGATACGGATTCTGGTCGACCTGCATATCCTGCAGACATGACCCTTACACTGGTCACTGGCTACATTCGAAACTGGGAGACTGACAGTCGCCCGGACTTTGTCGGGCCGGATGCGACACTGCAAAAGATGACAAAACCCAATCATAACAACGTTGAGAAAAAAAAATCGTGGCAATGCCAACAAGGAGAAGAAACATGCAAACAGGAGCGTGCCCTCATGAGGATGCTGTTTGTAGTCTGCAAGACAAACGCAATCTTCAGGGTCTCCAGCGCCAAACAGGGTGCCCAAGATCTCATACGTGGCACTGCATAACCGAAACACGATGTGATTTTCAAGGCGAGTAACGCCATATGCGCTAGAGTCAGCTGAGCTTCTGCTTCACGGTTCGTTGTTTTTTTATTTATGAAATTGGCTTCACAAATCCTCACAAGCCATCTGAGAACGTAGCCCACAGTTTTGCAGCATTGGATTGGGATGACTGCCGTCTTGCAGCACGACTTCCGCATCTACTAGCACGAATATCTTAAACAGCGGTGCAAGATTTCCTCCACCGAGTGAAAGCAAAAATCTATGAGATGCCCACACCCTATGCAGCTCAGAAGCGAGAAGGGGCACCGCACGTCGGTCAAGAGGTCGATCTGGATGTCCGGCTTGCTGTCCGGGACACCTTGAGTTCGCTTCGGAATCTCGCGAGACGGCTCAAGCTTGCAAGAACTCTGCCTACTGAAGACCTCTGCACCTGCCGTGCTGCTCGCAAAGGTCGCACTCACATCAGAGACCGTGACTTGTTCATTGCGAAAAACTTTCAAGCTCACACTCCGGCTTTAGTGTTCAGAGTCAGAGCGCTGTGTTTCGTGGGCTCTTGCATTGTGTTGGCTTTTCTGCTGATTCAGCAAGCAAATCCTATGGTGGAAACGATTCGTTTGCAAGCAGCTCTCTCGTTGATGCGCGCAGAAACGGCGGCGCTTCAAAACAGAGGAAGGCTGTGCTGGGCGACTTTGTTCTCCTTGCCGATTCTGTCGTTCTATAGATTCTAGTGGTCTTCCTCTGCAAAATCCTTAATTAGTCTCCGAGGCGGATCCCTGCGCTTGAGGCTTACGGTGTAAAGTTTTAGGTTTGAGGATGTTTGGAGCTCAGGATAGGGTTGCTGTGTTTCGGATAATAAACCTGCATCAGTGTTTTTTGCCTGGACTGCAAGAGTGTGCTCACGCCGTGACCTACATGCAAAGAGAATGGATGGAGGTTACAGCACTAACTTACCGGCCGGCACTCTCAAATTGACCGGGACTTGCGCTCAGTGCTCCGGACGCCAGGAAAACAGGAAGGGAGCAACCCAGCGAGCCCAGAAGCCAACAGGTCCCGAAGCCAGAAAACCACAAACAGAAGAGTCAAGACGCCGAAAACTACTGAGAAGGGCGACAACACTGACGGGACGAAAACAGTACGTCTTCAAGATTCCTGAAGCATTACGAAACTATGGGCCTCAGAACAAGAGACTTGAACAAATCAACAGATATTGGATGTGGACGGCTCTTACAGAAGCGAACCACAAGGCCCAGACCCCGCGCACGTGGCTTCTTCTCCAAAGGGAGGATCGCCGACAGTTCCTTGGTCCGAAACGATAGGATCGTATTCCAAACATGCAGATTCCACACATGCACCCTGTCAATTTCCTGCCAAGGGGCCTTGAAGCGCTCGGAGTTGACAAACTGAATTCGAGCCTCCGGCGACACCATGAACCTCGAAAGATAAATAGTGCTTATTAACCAGTGTAAGTTAGTTAAGGTCCTGGATTTCAGGAGATGCCTACACAGCCAAACCGACCTGGGAGAGCCGCTCCAACAGCCGAACACGAAGCCAAGATAAGCCAAGCCACTGTCGGAATGCGGAGAAGCTCTGCCTGCCGGCTGTTTCAATCTCCCGACTGACAGCTTCGTGAATGCCCGAAGCTGCTCCAACGGCCGATTATAGATGCTGCAAGACACCCTACAAAACACGTCGGTCTGATGTGACCCTAACCATGGGGAAAAGCCTAGATACCAGCTGCTGGCCTCATCGTAATGTTGAGGTAGCTTTCATCCATCATGGCATTCCAGCCCTTGCTGACGGCTGTGCTTTCCATACCTGACATGCAACTGATGATGGTATGACAAGACCGCGGCGTGCACACCCACCCACCGGCCCGCCCGCCGGCCCGCCCGTCCGCCCACCCACCCACCAACCACACCCGCACCCACACGCACACCCACACCCACACGCACACACTGAAGAGTGTAGTTTGCACAGCTGGATGGATTCCCTCAAGAGGATGTTACATAAGACAAAACCTGTGTCCGCTGTGTGTCAGGTCGTGCTTGTGGAGCCATCATGCATGAAACAGATTGCAGCAACCGTACATGTGAGCAAACGCACACTCTGCAGACTGAGGCTGACGCGCGTCTGCAGTTAGAATTAAATTTGCACAGCGAATGTATCACAGGACGGAACCATGTACGACGTATACGGAAAAGATGTCACAAGCTTTGTTGCAGGTACAGGGGCAAGCGTCCTTCATCCTTTCCCACCTTTGGCAATAGTTTCGTTGCGTGCAATATGCCAAAGGTGCTGCACGCTTTTAATCCGCCGACCCTGCGCGGCGCCCAGAAGTTAGACTTGCTAGTGCCTCTGGCGAACTGCGGGCCCTGCAGCATGCCTAACTCCAATGGATCGCAATGCATGCCCAACTCCTCTCTTTAACTTGGCTTCGTCCAACCCTACCCAACCTTATTCCGCCGCCCAGCGCCTCCCGGCCCCACCCAACCCTACCCTTGCGCGACTAGTGGTGTTGGAGCAATTTTGAACGCATGAGTAGCGCTTTCATCATACGTGCACACAGCAGGGCAAACATCGAAAGTGGGGCCCTGTGCTGGCTGCACACGAGCCGCCATTCCCTCGGTTGCAGTAAATCGAACACCCGTAGGGACCTTGGCTCTGCTATGCGCAGGCACGTGTGTCTTGACACCGGCCTGCAGGACATGTCCAAAAAATCCTGACTTCGTCTGCGCTGTGGGGAGTGCGCTCGGTGCACTAGCGCTGTCAAAGGACACTTTGACTTTGTCTTGGCGGAACCACCTACGACAAAAACAGTCTTCCCAGTCTGCACAAGTTAGGATGATTGCATCGTGTACAACGCAAGCGCTGCCTGCACATGTCCGCCTTTACACAGCCACACGTCAATCAGTTCCGTAGATCTCCCTAACAGCACGCAGTGTCATGGCGAACGCTTCGGATCGTAAGTTTGAAGATGCTGCCCAAGAATTTGCATTGGCCACGAGGGACCTCTCAGCAGTACTTACCGCCCGACTGTTACGAAGATGCCTTGAGATTATTGAGTCTGGCGAAGGCTTTCGAGCACAGATTGAGAATTCCCCACGCCGTATGCAATGCGAAAAGTGTACGTCCGTAGGCGCAAGAGGCAGAGACAGCCATTCACATTGCCGATGCTTTTTTCATCAAACACAAGATATGCAACCTATTCGGGCTCGCATGGCTCGCTTGGACCAAACCCGTCAAGAAAAAGAGGAGTCTCTTCGGCATCAGCATTCCGTTGGCTCTGGATGTTTTGGCAGTCCCCGCTTTGTGTCCAGCACAAGTCAAGATGAGACGCAGTCACGTCGTCAATCTCGCACCCCACATCGTCCTACGGTCATAGCGCACGTGATCCTTGTATCGGAAAGCATGGAAGGGTCTATCGGACAGCCCTTAACGGATTGTGGGTCAAATCGCGCTCTGCGCTCGATGACATGGAATCGCGTCACCGTGCCGGCCTTAGGATCATGATGCCAGTAGTCATGATCAGCACGACACGCAGGTGACTCATATCCGGAATCATATTCTATGCTGACCGGCACAGCATCACGGTCATCGTTCCTTCCCATGGCACGAAGTTCAGCCTCACGCATTTCAGCTTCAACATATCCTTCGCGCTCCGCGCGGTTCATCCCTCGCCAAGAATCAGAACCGATGGAACTGGGCTTCTTGGAGCCGCGATATGGTCGCTCTGTTCTCGGAGCGGATTGCACATATCCCAGGCCATCCTTACCGCCTAGAGCCCGAGATCCGGAGTAGGATGGACCCTTGGGCTTGGCCGGAGCGTAACCATCATCGAAGAATTCAACGGTTCCCGTCCATGACTGCATCAATCGTGTTTTGCCGAATGCATAACTCTCCTCCCTGATCGTTACGGGAGTCTTTCCGGCATATTGGATCCGGCGCAGTCCCTAAAAAACCCGGAGTCTTCCCGGGGTGAACCAGGGAACCACAACATGGTATATCCATTTGTGCTCGTCGGCTCTTCGCTCCCAGTAATCGGCTCCGCCCCCATGGCACAACATCGCACGCTCATGTGCGACCCTGCCACTTTTAATGTCGGCGTCGGACACGTTACGCCCGGCTCATAGAACAGCTCATCGCTGCGCCTGGAGTCAATCTTTTGCGTAGCAGGATCGTTCACACATATCGCGCGAGACCTCTTGTCGTAGATGGCGCGCATCGGAAAAATCCATTGCTCATGGGGGGAGCAACTTTCTTAACTTGGCGCAGGCTGGCATGCGAGGGGTCCCTCTTGAAATCTTCAAGATCAGCAACGACGATGTAGTCGCCTTTCCATTTTCCCGACTTCGAAGTGATAGCCAAGAAATATACCTGGCTTACTCGTTGGAGAGAATTTTCCTATTCGTTGATACGAAGACAGCTTATTGCCTTTCCCGTCCAGCGTAATATCGACACCTTCTCTCTCCTCATCGCCCGCTTCTATCTCCGCCCCAGGTGGATCCTTACGTCAAGCGGTACACCACCCTCGAAATCAACGGAAGCACCGTCTTCATCGTAATCAGCAGGCGCGGCATAGTCTTCCCCGTCCCCAAGGACACAATCATCATTGATGTTTCTCTTTGTTTTCTTCCGTGATGGTGTGGGGAAGAAATCAATAAGACATCCAAAGCGTAATCGTTGCCCATCAACGCGGCCCCTGTCGTTCCGGCGATCAAAGGCTGATGACCGCTCACTCATTTCGATGTTTCGAGCGAAGCAGAAAAGCTTGCACGCATATGGCCAGAACTTGGCTTCCAGACCTGCTTGCCTGAGGGCAACGCGAGCCCCGTGTAGAACGAGCTTCACTTTACTCTCAGCAACAGTGTTCGTTCTTGGCATACCAGGGGCCGAGTGCACAACGGGAATTCCAACTTTCTTGCACACCGAGATGAATTCCCTGGGTTTATCGCAATAAACCCCTCGAACGCTAAGGGGAGCATTGCATCGCTCCACACCCATGGAGAACGAGTTCACATCTTTCAACTCGCCGAAGACCTGATGAAACGCACGAAGTGTCACGGGAATAGCCTCAAGCCAACCAGTGGCAAGGTCGTACAACACAACCGCATCTGTTTCTCCGTGATTGCCACGATTGCCCAGTCCATGAAGAACTATAGTGTCAATCGTGACATGGTCGCCAAACATCTCAAACCCGCTATCGCGGGGAGACTCCTGACGAGAAGATCGGACGTTTTCCATCTTGGCACGCTGACACGCGTCACAGTATGGATTCTTCGGCAGATGTGTCATGAGATGCCTAAGAGACGTTGCCTCCTCTCTCAAATCCCTAGCCTTCGGCTCGTATGGCCCAGGTGGCCCAGAGTCGTTCTTACTCGAGCGTCCAATCTCGCGCTCTTTAGACGCACTTCTGCCTACCAGCTCGTCTACTTCGATGTCGTATTTCGACAGTGGATCTTGGTCGCCCACATCAGGCGAACCCTCACCGGCAGCAACGATCTTCTCATGTATCAAAGCCGGATAAAGCCGAGGTAAATCACGCCTTCCGGCCACAATCTCGGTTTCACTAGGAACAAGATAGGGAATGTTGTTAATCACTTCAATAGTGATACGTTTCCCGTTGGGATCAAAGAACTTATAGGGTTGGTGTAGGGCTCCCACACAACAAATCGATACCCAAGTTCCATACATCGTTTTCCCAGCGAGAGCAAGCTCGGGGTGCTATCGAGCACAGACGCCTCAATGGTTTCATCAATCCCATGTACCCGCATATGAGCAAGCCCGCGGGTGTTTGTCTTGCCATTTGCAGTCCTCAGACTGAGCTTGGCATTCTGCACAACCAGCTCTCTTTCATCGCGGCTGAGGTCCCCAAGACCAAAAAGATCAATGTCACATCCGGAGCCAAGCATAAGCCTCCGTACCCTCTTGACAGACTTGGCAGCAGCAGCAAAAACTTCGCACGCACTTCGCTTGGATTGCGTAAGCTCTAACACACACGCATCGTTAGAAAGAGATTTCGCATCTGCGTCGTCCAACAAAACTTGCTCTCTCCACATGACGGCTTTCATATGAGCTCTAGTCTCTCGCGGGAACTATTCAGACCACGGATTTCATCCGGCCACGAATAGTTCAAGTTCCTCTCACGTGAGACAGGCCCAAACTTGGTGTCAGGAAAGGAAGAGCTATAATGTGTCGAGTCTCAGTATCCCCAAACGATACTGATCTTCGAACCGACGACGGACATGCTAGGTCAATCGATGCGACACAAGCGAACGCAAAGTCAGTGGAAGAATGTGCGTAATCTGCCTGAGGGTCGCGGCACGCCCCTCTCAAAAAACCGAGGGCGTTGGCGCCGGACTATCGACCCGGCGACCAGAATTGGTATCTGGGGCTGCTGGAGCAGCAGAAATCGTGCTCTCAGCAGGGGCGCTGTGCTTGATGTGTTTGTACGGGCATTTATCGACGCGCGCACACGTCCCCTTTGCAAAGTAGAAGCACTCGCCGGATTCCTTGGAAATCGGAGGCTTGGATCGAGGAGGGAATCCTCCCTTCGGCGATGAGCTTCTTCCCTTCAAGTTGTGAGAAAATTTGCAACCTGACTCCCTCGAGCATCTTCCATGCTTGAAGTCAAGGCAAATCTGGCTTCCTCCCGGCGAGCGAGACGGAGATCGCCGCGTAGGCGCCGGAGCGGCTCTGCCTGGGCTGCGGGATCCACGCCTTGGGGAACCCCTTCTAGGCGACGATCGTCTGAAGGAACCCTTTCGTGGAAAAGACTTGCGACGCGGACTGCCACGACGGGATCCATGCCTCCCACGGGCTGTAAGATCGCCTCCCTTGGCGTGATCCGGCACGGTATGGGCTACCGTGAGCGGGAGCAGCCTCGTGGCGCCTAGCAGAGGAAGATCGTGTCGCAGAGTACATCTTCTCTTGATTCTTCCTGCGTCTCCAGGTTGTTATAGCGTTGGCGCATATGTTTCGGAGATAGGCGTAATTCCGGACAGATGCTTCTCTGTCCAACAGTTGCACATCGAGCTTGAGACAGTAGAGTTGACGCACTTGTTCGTAGAACAATGCGCACAGCATCCCATCCTCGGGCCTGTCAACGGAGATTCCGCCGAGGACGTGATCCCACTTATCACAGAAGGCCTCAAGCCTCTCTTCTTCCACCCCGTACCTAAACCGGTCGACCGCAACCTTATAACGAGATCGATAATCTTAAAGGTCCAGGTTGAATCACCCGTGGCATGTGGCCTGAGAAAATCGCACAGGAGCCGCAGGAATTGCCTACTCCCGAGACGTCTGCCAATCGTATGCATACGCTCGGTTTCGGTTTGAATCTTGTTCTTGAGCGCAATCGATTTAATGCAGTCACGGAAGGCGGAGTTGCACTCGTTTTCAAGCATGCCATACTTGCACTCGTCGTTAAGACCCTCATAACGAGTGCCGTCCTGAAGTCCTGAATCTCAACCCAGGCGAGGGCATATCCAGGATCGTACGCGAATGCACTGGCAACTCGCTCTTTCATCTCGACAATCCATCGGCTGAGCTGCGCAGGCTCTGGCTCAGGCTCAAGACGAAACGACTTACACTTAGCCTTTCGTGCATCACCATCCCCTTTTGACCCGCTATTTCCCGAATCATTCGGAGCGGGCGAATTGCCAGTAGCGCGCTCAAGACAGACTCGACAGATTCGCGTCGGATCACGGCAGCACTCATCACAGCATGCAAACTTGCACGCTACACAGTTTCTTCGAATGTGTATCGGAAAACTTCCAAGGCATCGCTCGCATTGGAACGTGTCAGGTCGTCCAGCTGGTTGGACGCAATGACGGCGGATCGAGTCCTCCGTCATTTGACGGAGGAGGAGGGGGAGGACCACCACCGGGGCCACCACCTCCGCCATGACCACCACTACCACCCCCATGAGGAGGATCGCCACCAGGCGGACCACTACTGCTGGGCATCCGCCCGAATAGGCCACCACCGTAAGCTCCATTATCGCCCCCTTGGTCACGACCGCCGGGGGCACCAGGGTCATTAGAACCATGGCCCTGACTTCCTCCGGATACGCCAGTTGGTGCGGCAGTGGGAACAGGGGTTGATGCGCGCATGCTGTCAACTGCATCCTCCAATGCCTGGCTCCTCCTGTAGCCCTGCTTTCTGCGCTGCCGCCTCATAGCTCATGTGCTCGCCGGGCGTCAAGATGGCTGGAGCGGCTTCCGTAACACTGGCATTCCAGGACCTTCCCAACTGCATTTGAGGGCCCTGACGATGGGATTTAGAAAGACGAGATCTAAGCCTTTTGAACTTCTCCCAGGATATAAAGGGCAAGCCGTTACGAATCATAACTTCCTGTACTTCACCATCGGGCGTGTGAAGAATTGCCCCCTGAGGCCCGCGTGTAAATGTGCACCCAACGCTAGCCAGTGCAGCTTCTGGATTCCGGCTATTCACTCACTCGAACCGTTCATGTCCGTGACAACCTCGCCATCCCGGACAGATCGGTATCCAACTGATTCCACGCTGTCAACCACTTATGTTTGAGTTTGACGGTCTCAAGATTTTCATCCCACGTCTTGGCAGTGTTGCCATCTTCGGCTTCGGCGGTTGCGCCTTCGTCAAACTTCCTGCCAAGTACTCACTGTTCAACTGCTTGCCAATCTTTGTACACAAAGAGGTGGCTACGCCGTAATATTTAAGTCTTGTCTTGCACCTCCCCCGCCCGCTCATATGGTTGGAAGGTCAAAAACTACAAACATGACAATCTTCTCCTGTTGATGCCCCTGCAATGCTGAGGGAAGCTGGACAATGGTTTTTTCAATCAAGCGTAACGTATAAGATGTGCCGGTTGTTAAGTGAAGTGGTTCATGCCGTGACCTAGTCATATATCGACAAGTCTCCTCATGAATATCACAAAGAGGCCCGTGAGGCTGCCAACAAGGCGAGCACCTGTCTTGCTTTCCGCATCGGCTTGCGTGGGATTGCACCGGAAGTCGGAGGCTCTTGAAGTTGGAGTGTCGTGTCATTTCCTCATCATTGCGGCCTTGACACTCTCAAAGAGTTTCTCGCTTTGATTTCAAGCTCCGAAGCGTGGACGTTGCAAGCCACACCCCCGTTTCAGCATGAAAAAACAGCAAGAAAAGCTATGCTACAGTGTTGGAACTCTTGATATCAAGCCTCTGCCCAGCTTTCAGGACGAGAAGATGCAACTTTTCAATTGCCTGCGAGAGCTCGCGTGCTGTCAAGCTTGATGCAGGTATGGAGTGTGCGGTAGACGTCGCATTTACTGAGCAAGAACTTGAAAATCAGAAGCCAAGCGCTAGTGGCTGCCACTTAGTTAGACGGTCAGAGTGCTTCAAACTTTTTCCTCGGAAGAAGCACTACGCGTAAAATCCACTCGTAGCAACACAGGGAGCCCTGCCCCTATAGGTAGTGCGGATTGCGGTCTAAGTGACCTTAGGAGTTCCGCGTCTGGGCCCCCGACCACAGCTACGACAAGGACGGAGCTGTGCCAACGGCTGAAAAAGTTTCTTCAGGGCATCATTCCAAACATCTTTATTGCAAATTCACTCCAGTATGACTCCAGTATTGTGACCCTGACCGTGACAAGACCAAGCGCTGAGACAGCAGTGTATTCGAGACAGCACAAACTTCACCAGCGCCGGCTGCGCAGGCCGCGTAGGAAGTCCGCAGGCTGTCAAGCTCAATGCGCTGCACTTAATCCGTTCCCTGCTGGCTAGCTGTGTAGTCGATTGAAGGTCTTTGGGCAAGGTGTCCGTAGCATGCACGGGCAAAATCAGGGCAGGTATTTTGCGGGGTCCAAGTCATGAGAGGGCTCAAGGCTCAATGTCTGCTAAGACGATGGCGTATCACACGAAAGACACAAACGACAGGTGAAACTGGGTACGTCTTTTAGGCGCGGGTGGCTTTCGGGAATCTTCCAGGTAAGCTGGGAATTCTACACCTTGTGGTTGGTATACTTGAATGGATGATGTTTGTACTAGATTGTTACACTGCTCTCTTGTATGCACGTACATGAACTGGCGTCCCAGTTCACTTCACCGCCCTATGACCAGCGTCTTTGTTAGCGGGAGTCCGGTCATGGGCGCTCCTGCCCCCTGCATGTTAACCGTTTACCTTGCACTCCTTGGAAACAGAGGATACATACACACACACACACACGCACACACACACACACACACTCAAACAAACACACCCTGCGCCACAAGTACTTTGGCTTGGATGTGGTACTGCACGTGCAAGCGAGCCACCAGGGGGGGGCTCGCACAGCGTGTCCCACGGCACGTACCAAAAATTGCCTCGAACAGACGTCTTGAGCTGGCTGGTATCTCCATCCAACCTAACCCATCCTGCTACGTGCAGACAGCTATGCACTTCCTTGAATCGGGTCTTGTCTCCTCAGCAACGCAGTGTCTCGGCAGCCAAGCTGCAGTAGTTGAAACGGGCGACCCCTGGCTGCAGAGTGTTGAGTACCTGGGTTCGACACCATCCTCGGAAATGAATTACCTCCAGGACTGGCCGACGTCGTGCCAAGTGCTTCAGACATGGAATTCTAAGGGTCAGGCAGCATGTCGACAAGAGCTCATGGCGCCCCCTGCGACAGTCCGACTTCGCCAATTCCGATCGCACACATACCACAGTTGCGAGAAGTCAGAAGCCGACAGCAGGCATATTTACGCATGTGATCTCGTGCCGAAAATGTGGCATGGCACGAGGGTTCCTGCCAAACAGTGGACACGTCTGATATCATCCTCTTGGTTGAAATAAACCGAGCCCCTTTCTTTGCGCAGCTGCTACTGCCCAGCAGCAGATGTGACAGTCCCGAAGCCTGTATAGATCTGTGCGAACGCACCCATTTGGAGAATCATAGCATCGGGGTCGGAGCACTGGAACATCGTCGTCTCCCCAACCTACGAAGGCATCGAAATTGCCAGGACAGAGGGGCCTCGGGCCTGCCTCGTTCATCATCATCAGCCCGGCCCCTGCCGGCTCTGAGAGGAAAGCGCCGGTGGCTTCACTGGCGTACATCTCCTGACTAGCTTGGCAGTTCCTCTCTCTCCAGAGATTGGATTGCCAGCTTCCCGAGACTGCGCAAAGTCCTTGTGGAGAATGGTTACAAAATTGGAATCCACGTGCCAGGGGAGCCAGTAATCACCCGGCCTGGGAGGCTAGGACCGTGCACTTTTGCAAGCTTTCAGTGCTTGTGGAACCTGCCTACATTCCTTTCCAGATCTTTCCAGAGTACGACTTTCAACTAAACCATTCCCTCCAGCCACGTGGCCTCCAAGTTTCTGGAACTGGGGCCCAAACTGCTCTCCTCCGGCCGTCGCCGTGCTGTTCGCAACGGCGAGTGAGGCAGAGCCTTGTTTATCGCTGCACTGTAATTACGAGTACCGCATGCACGGGCTCAACACGAAGCTACCAAAGCGAATAACATCCAAGCAGCCTCTGCTCTGCCCCAGTGCAGGTGAATTAGAAGATGCCTCAGAATTATTTTCGCTGAACGCGAATATGTTCCCAGGTGACTTCACAGGAGTGGAGTGGGTCCGCATGGACGACAGGCCATCTCCGGCGTGTCCAGCAGACTTCACAGGAGTGGAGTGGGTCCGCATGGACGCCAGGCCATCTCCGGCATGTCCAGCAGACTTCACAGGAGTAGAGTGGGTCCGCATGGACGCCAGGCCATCTCCGGCATGTCCAGCAGACTTCACAGGAGTTGAGTGGGTCCGCATGGACGCCAGGCC